TTTCAAATTTGTTATTCTAAATTTTTATCTTGTTTCTCAAATGATTACTTTTCCAGCATATTTCATTCCTCTAGAGTTTGGAGTAATTTTTCATTTCTCTTGTTCTGTAATATCTATTGACTTGTAGTTACAGTTTGGATTTGTTAGCACATAAGCCCACATCCAAAGAATGCTGGCAAGTTCTGCTTTTGGTATTGATAGATTGTTTTGGATCAGTTTTCTTGCTGAAAAGAATTAGAAAGACGAAAAAAGTAAAAAAAAAAAATTGTACACACATTAAAGAACTAAGACAGTGGGGAGTTTTGTAATGAGGATATGGTAAGAAAAGGAAGTGCAGAAGGAGAAGTCCTATATTTAAGACTCTTGTCCTTTATTGAAGAGGATAGCTGATTCCAGAAGAGGTGCTTTACAAACAGAGAGGCTGGGAACTAGCAACTGACTCAAGAGGCTAGAAAACCGAAACTAAAGTTGAGGGACCTTATAGCTGTCAGCTGAGATTCCAAAGGAGAAAATGGTGAACTGAAAATAAGAGGTTATATACTGAAAGTAGAACCAGCCCTTATGGGAACTCAAGACCGTTTTGAATAAACTCAATTCTTAATTGGATTAAGGTGATTGAGATTGCTAGTGACTCTAGCTTGACTTTTTGCTAAAAGCAAAATCAAATCCCAACTGAAGGAGGATGTCATTCGGAAGCTTAAGTTATCTTTACTGTTTTCATATATGCTGGCTCTCCATGATAAAAAAAATATGTAGGCATAAGAGAATATAAAGTGTGACTGAAAACCAAGGAAAAAAGCAGACAATGGAAATATAAGTGAGCTACAAAGTAACAGTTATGTTCACAAAATTCTAAGTAAAAGAATTGAAAAGTTAAAAATTCCTGAAAATCAAGAAATCAACTCTTGATGGATGGATTAGATAGCTTGTATACAGTTGAAAAGGGAATTAATGAGTTGAGAGATAGACCAGATAAGAGATCCAAAAAATGAAAGAAAACAAGCAAATTTTAAAAAAACAGTGTAAGAATGAGAGGATGAAAAATACAGAAAAGAGAGTAGAAGACTTTGGATACGGTGGAAAGATATAACTTAAAATATAATGAAACTTCCAGAAGGAAAGATGAGAGTGAATGGGACAGGATAATATTTGAAGAGATAATGGGTGAAATTTTATAAAACATGAAATACATGATGCTATAGATTCTGTGACTTCTATGGGTAAAAGATAGGATAAATACAAATAAAACTCACATAGTCATAGCATAGAGCAACCTTTGAAAAGTTAAAGATAAAATCTTAAAAGGTTTTATACAATGATGAATAAAACTTACTGTTAACTTGGGGAAATGTACAGAAAGAAAGTAACCTCAGCTGATAGGAAAGCGCAGTTGAAACAATATTAAATTAAAAAGTCAGACTCCCTTAAAAAAGCAATAGTAAGAGATGAAAGCTGATTTTGTTTCCAAAAGTATACTGAAATCATGCTCAGTTTGAAAGATGTGAATGATAAAGATAGACAGGAAAAATTAAGAGAGCTGGTTTTACATTCTTGGTCTAGCACTAATTTGTGTGATCTAAAGTCTCTTTACCTTTTTAGTTCTTCTCATGCTACAGTTTGGAGTTGAGATGTCTTGCTTTAACATTGTTTAACTCTGAACATTTTGTCATGGCTTAATGTGTAAGATACCTGGTTTACTTACATGTTATTAATCTCATATGTACGTTATTCTCAAATTTCTCCTTGATTCTCCTGGGCCTCCTCTATATGCTTCTGTAGAATGATAGGTGGGACCTATGGCTGAGAAATACTGAAGTAGGATATCATTGCACAGATTATAGTTAAGGAAAGCAGGAATCAGAGGGATGTAAAATATTAGTTTCCCTCTGCCCCACTCTGCCCTTGCCCAAATGAGGGGGACATAAGAGGTAGAGTCCTAAAATTCTGACTCTCCCTCTTTTAATAAAACTTGTTTAACCTTGATTTTTATAGAAAAGCTAAATCTGAATGGCCAAAATGAAAAAAAGTTTGCTTCATTTGCGACACTTTCTGTTTCATCTGTGCTTTCCCTTCAACTGAGGCTACTTACTTTCTCTCCATAAATGGTGCTCTACCTTTTATCCTGGATGAATTTAGGAAATCTTATCTTCTCGATCAATTGCTTTGCTTTAACATCTATTTAAAGTTATAGTTGACTTATTACGTTATTATTTTATTCATCTTTGAATAAAATATTTAGGTAGACCTGAAGTTTTCTAGCAACTCAGTGTGCATGGATTTTCATCAGCCTTATTCTTTGTTCTCTTGGGTGTTCACTGAATCTTCTTTTTGTGTCTATGGCAGCATACAGCTCTGGGAAGTATTCTCAATATTTAGCATGTTTTTTGTTTAATATAGCTCTTTAGGTATTTTTTATTCCTAAGGGTGTGTCTTACTTACAGCAGTAATCACTTGTATATACTGACAGTCTCACATCTGACTCCTCCATAGTTTTGGGGGACTTGAGGGCTGTAAATGAATGAAAGTGGTGTTCTGATAGAGTGTTGGGCAGTGTGCATTGTTTCAGTAGCAGAAGTTACTGTGATAGCTGCTCAGTGACCAGTTTGTTATAGAACTGGGTTTCTGAAAGAAAGTTTAGAAGGGAGGAATGCTTTTTTCTTTTTCAAATATGTTGGCTTTAGTGTTTTTCTCCAAGTGAAGATTTCAATTGTCTTGTTTGTAAGTCCTTAGTTAGTAGATATCTCTTCCATGTCCTAGTAGTAGAAAGATGGGATAGGTAGTGACAGATGCCATTTAAAACCAGATTTAGCATTGGTTCTTAAAATATTTATGTTTACTAGTTATATATTTCCTAGCATAACTTAGTTCAGAATTCCCCTGATATTAATTTTCTTTGGGAAGTCAGATATTTCAGAAGTAAGTTTTAAGATCTATAGTTTGTGTTCAGGAAATTGTCTAAAAAGAGTAACTCCCCTTTTATTGTACGTAATTTAGTTAAAAGAAAGCTTGGAACAATCAATAAGTCAACTGCGGAATCAACGTTTACTGAGAAACTCAAGAGGGAGAAGTGTTTCTGTTACAAGTCTGAGTACAAGTGACCTTGATGGTGGCACTGTGACAGGTAAATTCTTCAGATGTTCTGAAAATCCTTTTTTTGTTTTAAAAACTCCTGAAGTTCATATCAAATACATTTAATCTTTAAAGAAATGCAGAACATATATATTGTCATATACATTAGGTGCTAGAACATGCAAATGCCAAGAATATTATAGTGCATACTTTAAAAAAATTTAAAGAGCATTTTGTTACTGTGAGTTATACTCTGTACACCACCTGGAACTTTACCTGACAAAACCTGGATTTTAATTGCTTCCAAAGAATCAAAACAAACACATAAATAAGATTTACTATGTGGTATGCCTTCTTGATTAGTAACCTTATCCTAGTAGTTTTTCAATGTCTGATTGTGAATAATCCTCTGACATGTGAAGAACAGGTGACATTTACCCATGGTGTGCAGCTAGATGTTGCTGCCTATAGTTAATCTTATACTGAGATTCATGTTTAAATTAACCAGAAAAGAAGGGTCTGTAATGAAGGGAGGTGATTTAGATGGAATGCACATCAGTACACCTTGTATCGTTAGTATTGCTGTTGATCATCATAATAATGATTAAAAATTGGACACTATCATTTATTTTTATGTAGTTAGTTGGTTTTTATTGATTTTGTAAACTGTTCAGATTTTAGATTAATTTGTTATTTACAAAATTCTATTTTATTAGTATCAATTTTATTTTAGGGAGGATAAAGTTTTTTTTTTTAATTTGCAGTCATGTTTGTGTAAGAGAAAGTATGTTCCATCTTTTGACAGTATAAGAAGTTAGAACTTTTGGTATGTCCTATCCCCAGTTTAGATCTATTGTTCATTTCATCTGCCTTAAGAGCCAGATTAGTGCCAGCTTTGTGGAACTTCACGGCCACAGCAAGTTACTTGGGGGAATGGTCTAGGCTAAAGACATATGTGTGTCTTCATGACTGGTGTGCATATACAAAGAAAATTTTTAGATTGTTTCTTTGCATGCAGTGTTTTAATACCCCTCATTTTCTTTCAATTGCAAAGAGAGCCACCGTTTTCCACCTACCTCACCTCTCAAGGACTGTGATCCACAGGGTACTAAGCGAATTAGGTCCAGAACTGGTGTTCGGTTTCTTCAGGAGACTGATGACACAGTCCAGGTATTTTGCACCATTGTGTAATTTGTATGTGGCCTTTCCTTACAGTTCTATATAAATGACTAACACTTGAATCCATGTATTTTAGCCAAGAATATGATCAGCAGTAACTTTCACTGCTTTTTAAAAACCAAATATATTATTTTATTTTGTATGCATAAATCATTATCTCACATTTATTTTGGATTTTGTTATGAAGGATTATATTTTTGAAGTTAAAAGTGAGTTTAGTTGGACGTATTTCATTTCTATCCCTGTGTATTCTGTTCATTCCATTTTTTGTGGTACTGGAGTTTGAATTCAGGGCTTTGGCCTTGCTAGGCAGGTACTCTACTTCTTGAGTCACTATGCCAGTTCTTTTTGCTCTTATATTTGAGATAGGGTCTCACTTTTTGCCAAGGCTGGCCTGGACCACAATCCTCCTATTTTCTGCTTCCTGCCATAGATGTGATGACAGACACATCCCAACCGTACCCAGCTTTTTTTCTGAACTTTTTGCTTGGGCTGGTCTGAAACCCCAGTCCTCCCAATCTCAGCCTTCTGCATAGCTGGATGGCAGGTGCATGCTACTGTATGCAGCTATTAATTGAGATGGTATCTCATGAACTTTTTTTATGGCTGCCCTTGAACCTGGATCCTCCACATCTCAGCCTCCCAAGGTGCTCAGATGACAGGCTTGAGCCATTGGCATATGGCTCAGGGCACTCATTCTTTTGAAAGCCCTGCTAAGTCAGCTGCTTTCTGTTTTGCTAAGTTTGAACAAGTATGAACAGGTTGACCTTTTAATTTTTCCACCAGTGGCGATTTTCTTTTTTCTTTGTAACTTTTTTTTTTTCCTGGTGGTACTGGAGTTTGAACCAGGGTCTTGTACTTGCCAGGCAAGTGCTCTCTCACTTGAACCAGGCCCCCAGCCTCCTATTTACACATCCCATGTAGCTGGGGTGCATCACCACACTCAGCTTTTTTATTGCAATGAACTCTCTCTGACTTTTTCTTCTTGATCTCTGCCTTCTGAGTAGCTAGGATGGGTAGCTAGTATATACCCCACCCAGCTTAAAATTTTTTTATTAGTATATATTCTTGTACAAATGAGCTTCATTGTGATATTTCCATATATGCATACATATAATGTACTCTAATCAAATTCATCCCTTCTACTGCTCCCCATTATCTCTCCTTAAAACAATTTCAACGGATTTTGTTGTTCCATGTTCATAAGTGTGTATAAAGAACTTCCTGTTTTTTCTGATTGTTGGATCATTGATGGGTGAGGCTAAGGAAGGAATTCCACACTTTATATGTTCACTGAAGATTTCTGAAGTATTAGTGCCATGAAGATAGTATTTTTTTCAGCTTCTTAAAAGTTCTCTGCAAAGCTGAAGTTTTTGCTTTCATTGTCATGTGGCTAAATTAGGAAAAGGATGGGTGAAGTTTCTGACTTTGAAACCTTTATTTTGGTAGTTTTAGGATTCTGGTTTGCAAAATTGGAAAATCATGAAATCATGACGGCAAAGCTATGTAAACATCTGTTGTTTATCCACTGTACCACCTTTACTCCTTTTTTCTTTTGTTCTTCCTTATGTTAAGTCCATTTTCTTAAGATGGCCCTTAGCTCCACTTACCTATATAGGTTCTTAATGCCTCAGTGGAAATGTGTGGTTTGTTTACATATTTGTTTCCCACATTAGATTGCAAACTCCTTGTTTTCTAGCAGGTAGCTGTCACTAATTAGTTGTTCAATGTGCCCTTATTGAAATGAATCTATTTCTTGTTTCTGCAAGTCTGTATAGATTAAATTTTTTATAAACTATAGCATATATAATCACATATATATGTAAAAAGTCACAGTAATGAGACTGAGCATCAGGTACCTACCACTCAGGACAAGGAATGGAGCATTATTGTATCCCCGAGCCTATTTTATCCTCCTTCATTTCCCAAGGAGTATGAACTACTCTGACTTGTATATTCATCATTTATTTTTGCTTTTTTCAAAAATAGTTTTTACTACATCTTATTTAGCATAACTTCCTATGTCTTTGTAATTTGTCTTTTTCATTTGATGTTGTATTTTGACATTCAGCCTTACTAATACGTAGGTATCTTTTATCATTTCATTTGTACTGTTTGACACACTGCTGCAGCATATATTTCGGTTTTTCTCAGTGGACTTTTGAGTTGAGTTTAGTGTTCTCATTTTGTGTAATGCTCCTCCATACTTTCTCGTTCATGGTCCCTAGTGTACATAGGCATGAGTTTCTTGGCAGTAGAGGATAGCAAACTAGGGCATGCGGGTAGATAAAATGCTCATTGGTTCATGGGTAGTTTTGCACTACAGCAGTAGAGTTGAATAATTGTGAGAGATGATAGAGCTTGCAATTCTGAAATATTTGCTACTGGGCCCTTTACAGATAAAATTTGCTGACCCCTTTTCTAGGCTGTATACAAGGAGTAGGATTCCTACATTATAAAGAATGTGGTTGTTAATGTTATATGTGGCATTACACACACACACACACATACACACATCATATATCAATTTTTAAATTGCTTATCTCTGGAAACATATTTTTTAGAACAGGTATTTATTTTATTCATTGTTAATGCTACTGTAGAATTTGTCTACTTATACTCAGGGCCTTCTGCTTGCTAGGCAGGTACTCTACCACTTGAGCACATGCTTGGCCCAACAAGGTTTTTACTTTTAGTGACTCCTCATGGAAGAATTCAACAGAATCCTAAATGGCTAATATGTTTTGTTTTTGTTAGCTTCATGCTTTTCATCAGTCCCTTCGGGATCTCAGCAGTGAACAAGTTCGCCTTGGAGAAGATTTCAACAGAGAGCTTTCCAGAAGAAGCCGGTAAAAGTAGAATATGGTTTCATGGGAGCCATGAATTATTATGAAAATAAATTAATTTCTGTAATTGACATTTTTACATAGATTTAAAAACTCTTGTGTTTTTATATGGGTATTTTAAAGTTTATTAACAGTTAAAAGTCATTTGAGTATAAAATACATCATGACTCAATGTTAGAAAAACTAATTTCATATTTCTAAAAACACTTTATCTTAATACAATGCAATGTTGGTATTATTTAGAGATTTATTAAGAAATCTTAGCAAAGAGATGGATTTGTAAATTGGGGATAGATAGAGGAAGAGAAAGAAGGGAGAAGGGTGTGTGTGTGAGTGAGAGAGAGAGAGAGAGAGAGAGAGAGAGAGAGAGAGAGAGAGAGAGAGAGAGAGACATGACATAGAGACAGAGAAGGAGTGGCTTACAAACCAATTGACTGTTGGCAATGCAGGAAAAAGAAAGTATACTGTAGAATTTGTCATTGAACTTGAGCCATTGTGGAATCTGGTATCTTAGTTTTTAATTGAAATCTTTGAAAGCCAAGTGGTTAACATTAGCCCAGGCTTTGTGATTTTGCCAGTTCTAGATAGTTCCCAAGAACTGTCACTTAATTTAAAACTTCCTCACTGTCTCTTCATTTTCATTATCAGTGTTAGCAGGTGGCTCTATTTTTTTTTTTTTTAATTTTTTTGGTGGTACAGTGGTGAACTCAGGGCTTTGTGCTTATGAGGGAGGCTTTCTACTGCTTTAGCTGTACCTCCATCCTGTTTCATTCTGGTTATTGGAGATAGGGTCTCACTTTTTGCCCAGGCCAGCTTGAACCACAACTCTCCAATTTTCCACTTCCCACCATAGCTGAGATGTGCATCACCATGCCCAACTCGTCCACTGAGAAGTTGTCTTTCAAACTTTTGCCAGTTTCCTGATCTTAGCCTCCCAAGAAGCTAGGAGTACAGGCCTGAGCCACTGACTCCCAACTATATAGCTTTATTTTGAAGACTATGTCTTTCTAAGAAACAAAGATTTTTATTTACCTTCTTAAGAGTTATAGTCTATATATACCAAAGATTAGGGAATGACAAAGCTGAATCAAGACTTGTTTACCATGTTCTCTTGTTGTTTCAAGTTAAGTCATATCACATTCCAGTTCTATATTCCTGCAACAAAAAGTCCAAACTATAACTGTTAAATATTTCAAGTCTAGTTTGTATAACTTACCTAGTTTAGAGGAGGAAGGCACAAAATTTAGTAATAATAATTAGAATATGACTAGAACTATTAGTACTATTAGCTAAATGTTACTTAGCACTTATTTCATGCTAGGCAGATTTAACTTTAATTCTTGCAGTAACTATGAGATAGTCATTGTTTTCTCGATTTTATGGAAGAAGAAACAGGGCACAGAGTGATGAAATAACTATTTTCTGTGGAACAGAAGAGATGTGGTGGATTCTTTACAGTGTATTGTGGCTCAAGATCATTTTCATATGGAGCTGATATGAAGGAAGGATTTAAGTTCCTGATTTATGAGCTTATTATTGAGTTACATTATAAATCTTTAAATTGGTAACATTTAATTTATAGAGTTTTTTGTTAAGTTGATAAAATTACAGGGCATTGACATTCTAATGTAGTATGTTCTTTGTTTTGTTATATAGCTTTTACACATTTGAAAGAAGGGTATAAATTAAGTACCAGGAACATGAGTTTCAGGAAGTAGTTATCCTACAGAAGATACAGGAGAAGTTGCAGGGATGATTTAGCTGATTAGCTTAAGTGGTCATTGGTGTGTGCAGTGTTGTCCTCGGACTCTTGTGATCTTTAGGATTGTACCATCTGGCCAATAGTCAATATGATCCAGAGGCACAAGAAAGGCAGAGAAATTTTATTTAACCAAAATATAGAAGTCAGATTTCTTGTGAAATGAGATGGTTAAACTTTTTGATTCAACTTCGATTCTTCTTTGCTTGTACCACAAATTCTTAATTCATGTTTATATAAATTCTAGGTAGGATGTTACAAGGTTTAATTTCCTATTTGATTCAGAAAGGTTGGTATTCTCATTTAATTCCAAGCCTTAAATTTTGTTGACACTTATTGCAAAAATTACATTGAATTATAAAAATACTAGGAAGCAAGCTTTTAGAAAGGATTGGATATAATTTAATTCAGAATTCACTTATATTGGATGCCATTTAGAGAACTGATTGAAAAGCCTCTTACATTAGCATATGAGACTTGATGATGGCTTGATCAGTGTTATGGCAAGGGAGAGATGAACAGCGGTGTGTTTAAGAATTTATTTTTGGAGATCAGAGAGTTAGGATTGCATATGGGGATATAGGAGAATAAACCAAGGATAATGCCCAGATTTCCTCTTGAGTAACTGAGTAGATGTTAATTCTACTTCCAGAGATATGGAAGACTGGTTGAGGAAGCTGAGGTATAGAAATTAAGAGTTTGGTTTTAGAACTTTTAGGTTGAGATGCCTGTGAGACATTCACATGGAAATGTAAAATAGGCAGCTCAGATATTCATTCTGGAGCTAAAGGAAAAATCTCCATTAGAGATAAATTTCAAGAGTGATCAGCATATAGAGGTGCTATTTGGGACCATGAGAATGGATGATATAAGATGAAAATGGATGATAAAATGGATGATAAAAACTATATATATATATACACACATACACACACATACATACATACATACATATATATATATATATATATATATGTATATGTATAGTGTCAAAAGCAGAGCTGAGTGCCAAGGAGTCCATTATTTAGGAGTCTTATACAAGCAGATGATCTGGCTTGAAAAAGGTAGATTAGTGAGATGTGGGAAATCCAAGAGAGCATGGAACTACAAAATTCAAGAAAGAGGTAAAAATAAATACATCTGCAGAGACTGACAACTTAGAAAACTTGCCTTCTTAAGGAGACTTCTTTCCAAGGAAATTATCTGAGGATATATAAATAAAATAAGATTGTAAACAAAATATAGATTATAAGAAATAGTAAAACATATCTAGGAATTTAGTTAAGTAACCCCAGAATGACAGCCATGTTGCAGGTCCAACAAAGTATTTACTCTAAATTAGATCAGGAAAGTAAGTGTCCTTTGAGAAGAATGTAGTCAAGGAGAATGGACTAGATTGTTCAGTGAGAAATGGGAGGAAAATATCAGTGGACATAACAACTAAGGCCAAAAGATTATGAGAAATTCTAGAGAAAACAGAAGCACAAGAAAGTTATGGTCCAAGTGAGAGGCTGACTAATGTGAGCATGATAGAAGTGAGCTAACAAGCATCAATATGACTATTGTGGAATAATTCACAAGGCAAATGGTTATAGAAAATTATACAGGTAACCAATAGAAGAACTAAAAATAGTAATACATTCATCCAGTACTGGAGGATTTAGTGAGCTAAATCCTTCAAAACAAGAAATCAGTTGAAAATGTTTAGAGTTGAAAGTAATGAAGGTAACAAGCAAAATAATTAAGAATGGAAAAGGTGCACTGTGCATGATTGCCAGCAGGGAGTGGACCCAGAGTTAAGGAAGTATGTGAGAGAAAGATTTTTTCTTTTGCCATAAATTTTTCTGTACAATTTGATTGTTTATAATGTAATTAAATTGGTGAAATGAGAATAAGTAGCTCACTCTGATGTAATTTGATTGTGAATTGCAAGAGACATTGTGTGAGATCAAGAGTTTTGTCTTTCCTCTCTTCCTTTTTCTCTTTTTTCTTTCTTCTTAATTTAAACTGACAGTTATCCAGCATATCTGTGTGCTAAAGAGGATGTTCCTTTGTAGCAGTGGTTCTCAAAAGTTGGGTTTCCAGGTCCACAGCATCCATATCACTTAGGAATTTGTAAAAGTGCACATTCCTGGAGCCTATCCTAGATTTGCTGATTCAGAAGTGTTGAGAGTGAGGTCCAGCAGTCTGTGTTGTAACAAACCGTCCAGGAATTTCATGTTTACTAATGTTTGAGAACCACTATAGTAGAGCATTATGTAATAAAGGTTATGTTGTAAATTTCACTAATTCTGTGTATTTTCTCAAATATCCAACTTAAAATCTGTTTCTTTCCCCAGGTCAGATGCTGAAACAAAAAGGGCTTTGGAAGATTTGACTGAAAAACTTAGTGAAGCCCAGAAAAAAGAAGTGGTGAGGACTTATTGTTTATAAGAAGTTTTATTTTACATGTATATGGGAGGAAGCTGGCTAGGCTGGTCATAATCACAATAAAGTTTTAGTAGAGTTTAACCTTTTGGGTAATATATGCCATTTTGTCAAAAAATTTTGTGCCTCATATAAAATGTTCATAAATTTTAAGAATTTGATACAGTAGTAATATATTAGAGATTGTTTTATGTTTAGTAATTTATTTTTACTTTTTAAATTATTACTATTATTTTTGAGATATGGTCTCACTGTATAGCCCAGGCTGGCCTTGAACTCTCGATTCTTGTGCCCCAGCCCCCCAAGTGCTGGGATTACAGTTGTGTATCACTAAACAACTCTTCTCAACTTGTTTTGTTTTGATGTTTCTTTAAAATTATAGATGACTTGTATTACGGATACATGCATTATTAATATTACTGTAATTATTATTTTAGTCATCTTTGGATAGGACAGCTAAGTAGCACAATCATACTGCTTTTCAGCAACTCAGGGTGTGTGGGTTTTTACCACCATAGGAAGGTAAAGACATAATGCCTGTCTTCTGTTGAAGTAGACAGAATCTTTGCAATTAGTGTCTAGGGATGCAGCAGCTAGGGCATGATCAGGATATGAAATATTTTTTTCATGAAAAGTCATAGTTTTTAAAAAAAAATTTTGTGGCAGACCAGGTTCATCATTGGTGTAAATTGTTCTAATTTAAAGTATCTAAGACATGACATACTTAAAAGAAAGGGTCTTTTCTGAGATGAACACAATGGTGTCTTAGTTAATTGCAACAGTTCATGCAACAAGAAATCTGTGTCATTATCTGCTTGACATACTATCCAAATAGGATCTGAATGTGCACATTTGTGACTGTAGCTCTAAGGTCTTCTTTAGCTTACTAAATGATGTCTGGCTTTTCTCATAAATTCTAGAGTGAAACTTATCACCTAATAAGGCCACTGCTGAAATCTTGTCGTCTTTTTAGTTTTTAAAACTTGGAGGAATACTGTACTCATAGAAAAATACATGTGCCATTGTACAGCTCAATGGGTTATCATGAGGTGAATATACTGATGTAACCACCAACGAGATCTAGAAACAGAACATTACCAGCACCCTTAGAGGGCCTCCTTGTCCAATCACTGGCTCTTCATTCCTTTCTGTAGTTCACTACTGTCTTGACTTTTAACCCTATTTTAAGTTAATTTTTCCTGTTTGTACCTCTGACATAAATGGAATCAGACAGAACATTTTTTTTGCACCCAACTTCTTTAGCTGTTCACTAGTATTGTGCTATTTGTGGGTGTTGTGTCAGATGTATGCAGTTTGTTCATTTTTATTGCTCTTTAGTATTCATTTCATGGGTATGTTGCAATACATTTTAACATTCTATGATAGATATTTAAATTACTTTAAAATTTGGGCTGTTATGAATAATACTTCTGCAACCAATGTTACTTGGTATTTTAGTGCCGTAGGTACAGGTATTTTTGTTGGTTCATAACATGGAGAGCACTTACTAGGTGCCTTCCAATTTAGTAATGGCTGTGCTAACTTATACTTCCTCCAACAATGGATGAGAATTTATGTTGCTCTTCATTCTTTCTAACACTTGCTATCATCAGTCTTTCCACTAGCCATTATGACAGGTATTTATGGTATCTCATTACAGCTTGTTTGCCTTCATTTTCGTGATTACTAATGGTAATGAACTATTTTTTTTTCTTTTTTTGGAATGACAGTTTGTATTTTGCTCACTTTTCTGTTGCGTTTGTTGTCTCTTTATTATGATGAACACATTGTCAGTGATGTGTACTGTAAGTATTCTTTCCCATTCTATAGGTTATTCTCAAAAACTCAGGGCTAAGGTTGTAGTTCAGTGGTAGAGTGCTTGCCTAGCAAGTGGAGTCCCTGGGTTCAGTCTCTACCACTGCAAGATAAGCAAACAAAAACAAGAATAAAAAACACACAACAAAACAATCTGTCTGGATGGGTCATATGTTGAATTTTAATGTAGTTCAGTTTTTTGTCTTTTGACCCATTTAAAAAATTATTCCTTATCCTATAACCATTAAGATGCTGTCATGTATCTGGAAGCTTATTGTCTTTACCTTTCTCATTTAAATCTAACATTGACTTGGAGTTGCTATTTTTAATTTTTATTGTATGAAGTAGGGGGAATACATTTTTATTGCTATCTAGTTGATACAGTTCCATTTATGAAGCGGGCTACTTTCCCCACTACTTCATAGTCCTATATGTGTCAAATTGGATGTTCTCATGTGTATGCCACTGTTTGTGGAGTCTGTTTTGCTTTTCTGCTTTATTTATTTGTCTGTTCCAGTGCCAACATCTCACTGTCTCTGTTGCTTCTACTCTATGATAAGTTGTGATATATGCACATACATCGTCTCTACAGGTCAATTTGGAGAGGACGAAAATCTTTGCAGTATTGAGTTTTACAATTTTTGACATAGTGTCTTTCAAATGTTTTCTCGTTTTCTAGCCAGATGTCTTTTTAAAAACAACTTTATTGAGGTATAGTTGACATGGTAAATAGTCTATATTTAAAGTGTTCAATTTGATTAGTTTTACCCTAAGTATTTACCTGTGAAAGCATCACCACAATCAAGATAGTGACATATTTATCACATCTAAAATTTCTGTCCCTTTCTGTCCTTTCCCTACCCAAAACAACTCAAGTTTAAGCTAACTATTTTATTTATTTATTTATTGAAATAGTCATTGTATATGTTGAAGGTATACAAAACGATGTTATGGGCTACACATAGATAGTAGCATGTTACTAGAGTGAAGCTAATTAACATGTCCATCATTCATGCAGTGACTTTTTGCTTTATTTTATTTTTGTGGCAAGGGCAACTGAAATCTACTGATGTAGCATGACTCTCATGTACAGAACAATTTTTTTACCAGTAGTCCTCATGTTGAATATGAGATCTCCAGACTGTTCACCCTACATGTCTGTTACTTTGTATCCTCAGACCTACACCTCCCATTCCTTGCCTTTGATAACCGCTGCTTTATTCTCTATCTATATTTGGGCTCAACTGTATTGTGGCAAATGGCAAGGTATCATTCTTTTTCAGGGTGGAATAATATTGCATTGCATATATGTAATCACAATTTTTTTTTAAATCTACTCATCTGTCCATGCATGCATAGGCTGTTTCCATATCTTGGTTATTGTGAGTAATGTGGCAGTGAACATGGAAGTACAGATATCTTTATGCAGTGATGGTTTCATTTTCTTAGTGTATATGCCTAGCAGAAGAATTGCTGGGTTGTATGCTAGTTATATTTTTAATTTCTTCAGAAATCTCTATATTGTTTTTCAAAATGGCAACGTAGAAGGGATCCCTTTTCTCTATACTTGGCCAGCATTTGTATCTTTTGTCTTTTTGATAATAGGTATAAGATGATTTCTCGTAGTAGTTTTTATTTTGCATTTCCTTTATGATTGATGATGTTGAGTACCCGTTCACATACCTGTTAGAGCCATTTTGTGTCCGCTCAGGTCTTGTGTCTTTATTAAAATCAGGCTATTTTCCACTATTGAGTTGTAGGAGTTCTTTGTAAAATTTGGCTGTTAACCCCATATTGGATACATGGCTTGCAAACACCATCTGTGGGCCACTGTTTCCTTTTGTTGACCCTTTCCTTTCCTGGGCAAAAGGCTTTTAGTTTTATGTAGTCCCATTTATTTATTTTTGCTTTTGTAACCTGAGCTTTTGGTGTGATTAACTAGGGATCTTTTCCTTGGAAGTCTTTTAATTCTGGGTTTTCCCTTTTAACCTTACAAACATGTTGAAAATTCTCTTCAGCTTTTCAGTGTTTTATCTGCCTTTTTTGAAATGGCTTAATATTTCAGAAGGAAATGTAGCCCTGAAAGATGGACTGACTTCTCTTGATTTCTTTCTTCTCTTAAACCTTGGTCTCATATTTCCTTATTTTTAGCTTTTTGATGCCTCAAGACATATTTTTATTTGAAATATTCTTTCTAGCTTCTTTAGCTATTTTTAATGGAAAAGTTCATGTAGACTTGATTTTTGGAAGTGAAACCCTCTGAATCTTTTTTGTAAATACTAGACTTCTTTACTTTGCTCTTTCTAAATAAATGCAAAGATTTTATATAGGTTCTCAGCTATTGAATGAGGCTTCTTTCACTTGCTATGTAGGTACACAACTTGTGAACATGGTTATAAAAAGGCTTTGAACCAAACTCAGATATTTCAATATTCTGTGGAGGTCCTCGTAGACCTGAGTGAGTCATGGCCATATACAGTTGTACTGTCCTGTTGTATATTGAAATTGTTAGATAGTTGGGGTAGTTTGAGTTTGGGATTTGCTACTAACTTATAGTGAACACACTTTTGTCAAATTTCACCTTTTACCCTGTGATGAGAGCTATCCATAATGAGCAGAGTTCATTTAATTTGAGTTATTTCACATAATAAAACCAGGAAGCATTTTTTTTAAATGTTCTAGAGCTTTTCTCTGTATTCAAATTATAGATGCTGAGTAAAAAGAAGTCAGCAGAAGTTAATGACAGCCCAGAATCTTTCATAATAGCATGCCATGCATCAAGAATTACTCCATATCAGATAAAGTTATGATTGTAAAAACTGGATGTCAAACTCACTGGTGCTCAACCTACTAATGTAGCCATGTCTATAACTTATTAATCACCTAAGTGTCCAGTGTGTCCAGCTCATTAGGACACAGCCTTTTGTAAAATCCAGAATATGGCTCACATCTAATTGTGTACTTTGTTGTATTTATATCTGTCAGTTCTTCACATCAAGTTATGATGTTAGCTTGTTTTATGCTTTCCACAATTTGTTGTCCATAAGTACAGTTTTAGTAAGGGCATCTCAAAACTCACTTGGGTGTTTAGTCCTGATTAAAAACAATTATCTAATTTAAAAATTACAAATAATATAGTTGAATTTCAGATAGTCTTCTGAAGGCCACAT